ATGTATGCATGTATGTGAATGTATGTATATATGTATGTGTATATGTATATATGTATGTAGGTATATATTTATATATGTATGTAGGTATACATTCATATATGTATATATGTATGTATGTATTTATGTATGTATGAATGTATGTATGTATGTATGTATGTATGTATGTATGTATGTATGTATGGATGGATGGATGGATGTATGTATGTGCTTGTGTGCATATGTATATAAACGTATTCGATTGATTTCTGACGGATGAAAACAGTAAAAAGTCCGAGCCGGCCAACACTTATTCGTTATTCTCAAGCACAGAATTAGCGTTTCGGTTGAAATATGCTCCCACTGATGCCGATATTTTTCAGGATTTGGTACGACGACAGTTGGTCAGAATGGGGCCGAATCTGAGCAAACCCCGCTCAACAACAATGGATCGTTGCATTCATGTACATCAGGCGACAGCAGTTCACGTCAACACAGTGCTTCACTTACTCCTTTTCGAAAATACCGGGAATGCCCGCTCTGCTTCATACGACAGCCGCTCAGTCATTTTCCGCGCATCTCATGCTGCACCCATCGATCATGCAAAACTTGCCTTGTACAGGTGAAAAAAACCATTCAAATTGCTTGAACAGAATTAATTTACTGGGGTATTTCTTTGATAGAAGTGAAGTGGATGTTAATTCATAGGCTAATTCTTCAGCTGTGCATCTGGCAACTTCCCCAGTTGCTTTGACCAGTACTGCGAAGCTCAATTTAGGAACACGATTTTCCATATGAACAACAAATATCCTGACAAAATTTCAGCTACTGCTTTCCGGCTAGTTTTCGAGTTAGCACAATGCCAAATGGGAAATTTGATCATTTTTTGATGAACAAAAAACTGGCGATCCTCACGTTCAGTTTGCTTTTTGAAGAGAGCATTAACTGAACGGTTTTACGACAAAAGTACTTGACAAGACTTTGACCGTTTCCGGTTGTCCTTGGCGTATTTTTGAGTATCATTTCATCCAGAATATTGTCACTTCTGGACTACGATAATGTACTACAAAATTAGGTAAAATTCCCTGGTTCTTTCTAGCAAAAAAATGAATTTCAGAATAGGTTTTTTGTTAATTTAGGAATTTGCGATCCACTTAGTATCGAGGTATGCAGCTGGGTAAAATTTGGAGGGGTCACCTGTCAAATGTATGCAATACACAGCGAACTTTTTTCAGTATCTGCAAGTGGAAATAATGGAAAGCAGAGTACAGTTGACATGCCCCGAATGCACTGAACTCATGCATCCATCGGACATCTACTCGCTGATGGCAAATTGCCCGGAAATGCTGGAAAAATATGAAACATTCGCATTACGGCGTGCTTTGATGATGGATCCGGACACGCGATGGTGCCCAGCACCTGACTGCACGTTCGTTTCCATCTGTCGCCTTTAAGTTTGAGCGTTTTTTGAGCCGAAACTATTTGCAAAATATCATTTTTAAGTTCGAACTGGTAATTTTTATTATAAGACCAATCACAGTTGGAATGATTAGGATCAATTGTATTTCATAATTTC